TGCCACCTTCCACGTCCACGCCGTCGTGAGGAGCGCAGCCCGGACTCTCCCGCGACCCCTCCGCCTCCCCACTCGCAGGCCTCGAGGCCGCGGCGGCTACCGAGACAGCGCCGCACCTCCCCCATCCCTGCCCCTGGGTCCCCCGCCCGCCAGGGCCCGGCCGGCGCCCCTCCCCCGCCCGCTACGCCGCCGCCGCCATGTCGGCGCAGGCCCAGATGCGCGCGATGCTGGACCAGTTAATGGGCACCTCTCGGGACGGTAAGTCGCTGCCGGAGCCCCGGGGGTGGGGGAGGGGCCGCCGGCCGGGGGAAGGCCTCCGCGGGGGCGCCGGGGTGCGCGCGTGCGGCTGGCGAGGGGCTCCCAGATTGGTAACCGAGGGCCCCGGCTCTCGTCCGGGCCAATCAGGGCTCGGCAGACGGGCCTGGGGGCGGTGCCCGTGCGGATTGGCGGGAACTGCTACCAATGGGGCGAGGCGGGGCGGGGCCGGGACGCAGGCAGGGGAGGTCGAGCCTGTCGGCCGGGCCGGGGTTGGGCGAGCCCGAGGCCGCCTCGCCTAGCGGGCTGCCAGCTACGGCTGTGGAGTAGGGACCCGCGGACGCCAGCTCCTTCACCTCGGGCTGTCGGATCGCCCCTCGCCGCCGTCCTCTAGAGTGCGGGCGCCCCCCTCCCGAGGCTTAACGAAACCTTCCCTACTAACCCCAGTGCCAGGGACGCTTCGTCGAGCCCTACAGAATCACACTTTTTTTTTTTTTTTTTTTTTTTTTTTTTGTGGAAAATCTGACCCAAACCATGGTTTCTTAAGTGGGAGTGTTTGGCCCCATTTTGTAGAACTGTAGGCTTTTTTTTTTCCCCCAGAGATCTCCATTTTGTTAGACAACTTAATAGAGGCGTTCCTTCAGTAAATATTGACACATTTTTAATGTGCCCTAAACAGAACCAGTTTGGAAATTCGATGCCCTCTGAAGTAGAATGGACATTTTAAAACGCAGTTAGGTTAGAATCTTTATAGGGAGTTATCTACGTGTTGGATTATCTTTTGTTCTAGATAGTTTCTAAAGTGATGAAGTGTTAATTTTTTGGGAATGATTAACTATGTACTTTCAAATTAAAGCTTAGCACATTCTTAAAAACAAATCCAAATTCTGACTTGTAAAAACTCGTTTAAGGCAAGTTCCTTATCGATTTAAATGCTGGTTTTTCTTTTCTTGACAAGTTTGACTTAAAAGAGAAGACATTTAGCTTTTGAAAATTCCATTAATTTTCTTTGAGCGCTTTGCTGAAAAATACAGGAGAAGTTAAAACCTATTTAAAATCTTTTTAGCAATACTTGTACAGCTTTCAGTGTATGGTTAAGTTTTAATAAAACTGGGAACGCTTCTTAATAGAACAACATTAAGGTAAACAAGGTGGATGACAGATTCACTTATTGTTGTGTAGAGAGGAATGGAAATTGGAACGTATTTATTTGTGTGTAGTAAGTAATCCCTTGAAAGTTAACATTAATTAAAAATAGCACTAGAATAACCTAACTTTCATATTTGGGTAAGAATGTTTATAATTGCAACATGTGTTAACTTTGCTCATTTTCAATCATGAGTGAGGGTATTTATTTAGAAGGGGCTTTGTACAGGAACCTAACAGTTCAATCTTTGTAATAACATTTAGAAATCTTTAAGGCTTCCTTATGTAGTCCTTTTAATTTGAATGGATGCCATTATTGGTATCTTCTTTATAGATAGGATTTTCTTATATTACTGGGAAGGTAGTTGGATCAAGGTAACTATGACCTAACAATTTGCTGATAGCAGCCCCCTCTAGTATTGTAAAACTGAACTATTACAGTATGTACATATACCTTTAAATTTCTCAGTGTAGTCCTAGCAGGAAGCTGGGTTCTTAAAATTCATTGTTTTTTTAATTTATATTTGTGTCTCTTTGCCCTGGATGATTTTTTTTTTTTTTTTTTTTTTTTTCCACCAGACCAATTGAACTTATGAATGAACTCATGTTTATGAGTAAACAATAGTATTTAGTTGAAATGATTTGATTTTCAGTGCTGTGTTGATTTCTAAGAAACATCAGTTCTGGCTTGGTAGGATGCTGAGGCAGGATTTCAGTGAGTTCAAGGCTAGCCTAGGATACATAGTTCCAGGCTAGTTTGAGTCAAGGCAAAACCCTGCCTCAAACAAAATAGATAGATTGATAGATTGATTGATAAGTGGAAAAGGGGGATGAATATTTAGGCAGGTGTGTTAGTGTGTTGAGACTGTAGCTCGATAAAAACAAAAACTCACTTTTTTGATATACTCGTATTAATTCTTTCATATATGCAAGATAACATAATACGTTTCTTTCTTATCACATATTTAATGAATTTGTAATTCAGGACCTTGAAATAAAATCAGAATTAGTTTATTTTTGCATACAGTAAACCTAAAGTTATCCAAGGATAGGGGATATAGGTATATCACTGAATCACATAATGGAAAATTGTGTGTTTACACACATGGGCAGCTTACCAAAAATGCTGTGTGTTTGGCTTTAAGAGGTGGAATTGGGGATCCAGAAATGGGAGAGAGATGGAAAAGGTAGGTAAGGGTGGGTATTTAAAGGAGATTTGGCTTTTGTAGAATAAAAAAGCAGCCAAAACAGCCATGACTATTTTGGGTAGTGGTGCCTAAGATGGCGATTATGCCCTAACCTTTATTATTGTCTTTGTGAAGGAGTCTGAAATGGTAAAGAAATTCTGGGGCTCTGGGAAATGTTGCTCTCCCTTTCTAAGGATTTCTTCCCTAACTTATCTAAGCATTTTTAAGTTTTCAATTGCTTGGAGATTTAAGTCTGTTGGTTAAGTGTATGATCAGTTACTTAAATCAGCTAATCACGCAAGTAATTAAACCTCACTAGAACCCTTTGGAGTAGGAATTGCAGTGGTAGGAAACTAGGTAACTCAGATTACTGGGCACTTCAAGAAAGGACGGTCTTTGGTGTGTGTGGGGCTTTGGATAGTCAGAAGGGCAGCATGATGGCATTGGGAGGTTGGGCAGAGGGATGACCAGGAGGTGGGAGAGAAATGCATAAGGGAGATGGGAGGGCCAAAGACAAACTTTGCCTTCTTTGCAATTTTGCCTAGGGCCCTGGTGGTGGCAACCGCCTGTGTGCCACTGAAAATCGTGCCGATGCCTGGCATACTGCATATATGGAAGCAGGGTACCGCGTGAGTTGAAACATTGGTCACACTATATAAAGTTTGTATATGTGAATCAGTGTAACTCAAACCCATGTAACGGGGGGAGGGGAGTCTGTCTATATTTGGAATTTTCTAATAAAACATCATAGGTTAAGGAAAAGAACACTGGGCTGAGATTCAGGAGACCTGGTTTCTAATTAGAAGCTTGGGTAAGTCACATAACCTTTTTGCCTCAAATTAAGTCTGTTGTATATGGGAAGCGAAATAATTTTCTGTGTTATACTAAAAGTGTTGAATAACTATAATTAGGTTTGTTTTTTTTTTTTTTTTTTTTTGAGAAAAATCACAATACCCATTGCTAGTATTTATTTTATCTCCAGTTTAAGATTAATTATTTTTAAAATTCTGTCTTAGAAAAGAGACAGGTAATTTATTTTTCCTAAACATATTCCAGATGGTAGCAGGAAGGCCCACATAGGAAAATTTAAGAAATATTTTGAGATTTGTTTTTGTGACAGTTGAAAGAAAGTATTTCAGTGCCCTTGATGGGCCATGGTCATTTTAACTAGATTGAATTAATTGTAAGAATGTCCCTTGGCATAAAGCTTCTTTGTGAGCACACAGTTTGGTTATAAGTCTCTGGCCATGATTCCAGAAAGACTAAGGAAGCACCACCACCTCCCCATTGGTAGGCTCAAACTCTGGGCATTGCATATTCTAGGGAAGCTGAGTTCCTAAACTATATCCTTAGGCCTAGGACCTGGACCTAGATTATATCCTAAATTTAGAAGTTTGAAGTTCAGAAAGTTGTCCTGAGGGTACCATCCTTTAAAATTGTTTTAAAATGGGCGCATAAACCATTTCTGAAAGGTTAACATGAACCAGGAATGACCGTGTATATTTAAATGTGCTTTGGAAGCCAACCTGTAGACCCAAAGTATAGATCATAGAAATAAAATTGTGTGGTATCACCCGTGATGATGGGCTGTTTTGAGCAGACTGAAGTTGGTTACAGCTGGGGATGTATCTCAGTGGGGGCACACTTTGTTAGCATGTGCAACAACCTATAGGTTCAACCCTCAGTACCACAACCTACCTTCTGCCTCTCCTGAGGGACAAAAGCCACTCCAGTGGTTGTTTACCTCCAACAGGGCTCTTCTTTGCCAGTCAGGGCTGTCGGTCAATGTTACTGTATTAGTAGATCATTGTTGGCTGTGTATGGGGCTTTGCTCGGATCCCAGCATTTGGGAGGTGGAGGCAAGAGGATCAAGAGTGTGCCAGACTCAGCTACATAGTTAATTCGAGGTAACCCCTAGGCTGCATGAGACCCCATTTCAAAAAGCCAAATCAACAAAACACCAAAACATACATAAAATTTTTAGATAATTTTAGCTATTTAGGATAGTAATTTTACTGAGCTGCATGGTACTTTCTTAGTCAATACAGGATGCTAATCTTAACTGCTAAGCAGTTGTGCAGTGTGTCATAACATATACAATTGAAAAAGATCGTCATCTTAGGTGATGCCTTGAAAAATGCAGTTCAGAAAGTAATTTTCCTATTCCTAATACAAATTTAGTAATATATAAGTAATTACATCTACATCTGTGTAGAACATTACTGCCTTTCTGCAAAATTATTGAATCAAAGGTTTGAAGTATTGTTTTTTTTCACCCTGTGGATTATCTTCATTGTAAAATCATCTTTATTGTAATTTGTGTTTCTTGATTTATCATCAACACATATTCTTAATATTCTTCTCATCTTAATGAATCATACTTATATCTTGGTGAATTGTAAGCCATCCTTTTATTATATTTGGTTCATTTTAAGTAAAAGAAGTATAGCCTTTAATGTACAAGTACACATTTTAAAAAACACAATGGAATATTTCTTAGACTAGAACATGTACATCTAAGGCCAGTTTTTCTGTATGTAACTGTTTGATATTGTTAGTGTTAAGGCATCTCCAAAACATTGAAAGCCTTGTTAGCACTTAAATAGTGAATCAGTTAAAGCTTCCCCCTCATTTTGCATTTTGAACTGTAAATAATATTTCTATCTACAGAGCAGCCCAGAAAACTAAAAATCTCACAGAACCCTAGTCTCTTGAAATCTCTGCAGTTGTTTAGCACTCAAGTAAGCCTATGTTTCTGAGACAGTATTTCAGGTAAAAACAAAAACAGAAGGAAAATGATTTTTTTATGTATTTGCAACCACTGTAAGTAGCAACTATGTTTCTAGTTAAAGTAGGATGTCAGCTAAGGATAAAAAAATGTTCAGGATGGGGACTACAAAAGTGAATAGGTGTTATGGTCATGTTCAGGTTCATTGAATGTTCATTGTAACATGATTCTTACAGACAGTGAAACTTGGAAGTTGGTGAGGGTTCAGCTAAGCAGTGGGACTGAGCACATATATATATGGTTTAACAAGAATGAAGGTCAGTAAGTGGCAAGACAGATAAATGAGATAAATGGTTCTTACTGAGCTTCCACTTGGACATAGTGACACATACCTTTAATCCCATCACTTGAGAGGCTGAAGCAGGAGTGCCTACCAGGCTGGGCTACAGAGTGAACGCTTATCTCAGACTAACAAAAAGTGAAATTGAAAGCCTGGAGATTAATTTTTTTTAAAGATTTATTTTAGTTGTTATTTATACAGTATTCTGCCTGCATGTGTGCTGGCAGGCCAGAAGAGGACACTAGATCTTATTGTAGATGGTTATGTGCCACCATATGGTTGCTGGGAATTGAACTCAGGACCTTTGGAAGAACAGCCAGTGCTGTTAACCTTTGAGCCATTTTGCCAGCCCCTGTAAGATTACATGTGTAATCTTAGCATTCTGTCACTTGGGAGGCTGAAGTAGGAAGATGATGAGTTTGAGGTCAGTCTAGGTTACACTCACAAAGTGTCTGAAGCAAGTCAGGGCAGCTACTTTGAGGAAACATAACAGTCCTACCCACCCCAATCAGTCTATGAAGAAATTGTAGACTAAGAAGATGAAAGAAGTTGGAACATCTTGTTGGAGAAAAAAAATGAGGGAGTGAAACAGGGTAAGTTTGTGACAAGAATCTTAACAGCTTTAGCACACAAAGGAAAACCAATCTGTTCCTTTTGGTTGTGGGTGGTTGTGGTTCTGTGCATGCATGTACATGCAGGTTTGTATATGTAGAGGTAAAGAACAGCTTTTGGTGTTGTCTCCCTGACCAGTGACCTGGCATTTATCTGCCTTTGTCTGTGCAGGCTGGCATTATAAGTGTGTACCACTGTGGGTAACGTTTTTTTACATGGGTTCCTTGTGCTTGTAAGAAAACACGTTAGCAATGAAGTTACTGCTCCAGCTGTTTGTTTTATACCGGTCTTGGAACTCTTGACTCAAGCAGTTCTCTTACCTTAGCTTCCCAAGTTCTGGGACAACTAGCATGTACCATTGTTCTACTCTGTTCTTTTGGGTTTAAATGATCACTTACTAGTAGCTGCTTGGGTAAAAATGGGAAGAAAGGATTATTGAGGACAAAGAGGAAAGTCATTTTTAAAAAACTAATGTTTATATCATGTTTTTGTTTTAGCTGAGTCAAAGGCATGAGAAAGTAACATTTAGTATAGTCAATTGAATAAATGTCTTATCTTGTTCCTTAACATTGGCCAGAGAAAGAACTTAACTTCTTTTTTTTGTAGAAAACACTCTCTCTATTGACCCATATGTTCTAATTTAGTTGTGAACCATGTACAACTGATGTTTGACCTATTTGAATCAACGTGAAAAGAATTTAACCAACTGCCCTTGCTGAATCTTTTGTCCTGTTTCAAGAATATGGTAAATTGTTTTTTTTTTTTTTTTTCTTGAGACCTCAGATTTCTGTAGGCCTCAATTTTATATTTTAGAGCTAAACTATCTAAAACTTTGCTTTTCAGTTAGGGAGGGTGGATATTTATGGAGGCTTAGTGAATCAAGTTTTGTGTTGTATTCAGTTCTGTATTATGCTCTTTGCAGTTAGAGCTTGAAGGTGTTTTATTTATTTTTACTTTTTTTTTTTTTTTTGAGACAGGCTTTCTCTTTGTAGCCTTGACTATCCTGGACTCCCTTTGTAGATAAGCCTAGTCAGGAACTCAGAGATCTGCCTGCCTCTGCCTCCCCTGAGTGCTAGAATTACAGATGTGTTCCACTGTGCCCAGCTGAAGATGTTTTAAATAAAGATTTGGTTCTATGGATTCTTGCTTTTTGTAAACTTATTTATTTTTAGAAGTAGGAATTCTTATATCCTAGGATGACCTTGAACTTCTGATCTTCCTGATCAACTTGAGAATGCTAGAATTTCAGACATGGGCTATTTCATCTAATTTTAGGGTGTCACACTGTTTTGGCTTCATGCATTCTTGGCAAAGCACTCTACGAATAAACATTTATTTTTCGCTAGATATAGTGGCTCATACCTGTAATCATGCCTAGTGAGAGGCTGGGCAGGAGAATTTCTGTGTTTGAGGCCAACCTGGGCTCCAGAATGAGACTCTCAAACTCTCTTAAGCACCTTCCTCGACCCCAGTCAAAAACATTTGTTGGTTACTGTTCTGGGTCACAGTGTGTCCCAGACTAGCAGTGCTGCATTCTTTAGTCTCTTTAGAGACTCAAATGCTTATTCTTGAGCTAGAAGCCAGCAATCTGTGTTTAAGAAATCTTACGAAGTTTCTTTGAATTTTTGTTTGTTTTAGGTTTGTTTTTTTGTTTTTTGAGACAGGGTTTCTTTGTGTAGCCCTCCTGGAGCTCACTCTGTAGACCATGCTGGCTTTGAACTCACAGAGATCCACCTACCTCTGCCTCCTGAGTGCTGGGCTTAAAGGCATGTTCCCATTCTCTATCCCTCTCTTTTTTTGTTTTGTTTTCATTTTGGTTTTTTTCAAGACAGGGTTTTTCTCTGTGGCCTTGGCTGTCCTGGACTTGCTTTGTAGCTCCAGCTGATCCACAGGTGGATCACAGAGATCCACCTGCCTTTGTCTCCTGAGTGCTGGGATTACAGGTGTCTACCACCACACCCAGCTTTTTTGCTTTTTTTTTTTTTTTTTGAGGCAGGGTTTCTTTGTGTAGTTCTGGCTGTCCTGGAACTTGCTCTGTAGACCAAGTTGGCCTTGAACTCAGAAGTCCGTCTTTCTCTGCTTCCCTAAGTGCTGGGATTAAAGGCTGGACCATCCCACTTCACCTAATATTTTTTTGTCTATACTTTCTAAAAAATTTACACACACACGCTCATGCAGGCTGTTGGAAGGTAATGCTTGGTATTGGACAAGGCAAGCACTCTACTGTTTGTGCTATATTCCAGCACTTGCTTTTTTTAGACAAGGTTTCTGTGTGTATACCAGACTGACCTTTATCTTCTGTAGCTCTAGGCAGACTTTGAAATTGTGGTCCTGCTTCTCCAAGCAGTTGGTGTTATTGACTGTGCCTTGAAGCCATTCTTAACTTTAATTTTAAAAAGACATTTTTATTACTCTAAACATAAATACAAATAGGGTATGCTATGAAAATACAGCTGGACTCTGGGTTTTGTTTGTTTGTTTGTTTGTTTTGAGACAGGGTTTTACAGTGTAGCCCTGGCTAGCCTGGAACTCTTCAGTGTAGAACAGGATGACCTCAACCTCTGCCTAGGAAGTGCTGGGATTAAGAGGGTACATCACCATGCTCAGTTTAGACTCTTGTCACTTAGAATTCCATATGCTTAAGGTTAGAGTTTGTCAGGTGTATTAAGTAGAAACTTTTTTCTTGAGTTAATGTTTCTTTCTGTGTGGTAAGTATCTTGTTGATAAAATTGAATGACACCCCAAATCATCTTGTGCCAATTCCATATTAGAAAATACTGTTCTAGGTATTCATTTAAGATGTAATATATATATATATATATATATATATGTATATATATATATATATATATATAGCATCTATATCTTCTCATGAGTAGAAATGACTAATCAGAAATAACAAACTTGTGAAATAGAGAGTTCTTGGCTGTGGCTAGGGAGATCATCCAGACATGCAGAATGAAATTACTTTGTTTAACTTAGCTTCTCATTTTTCCTTAGTGTTTTCGTTCATGAGATTCACCAGTTCTGCAATATTTCACAAACACAGTGGCAATGTGAAATGAGAATATAGTGATAGAAACTGTGAGGAGAGCATAATTGTGATTAATGAAAGGGGACCAAGAGGGTCATACCTGCTAGGAAAGAAGAGATGATTTATCATAGAGGAATTTGTGTCACAGTTTGATTTGTAGTATTAGAGGTAATATTTACTAAAGTGGTGTTCTGTTTTGTTCTTTTGTTAATGTATTTGCATGTGTATAATTGCTTGTCCATATGTGCTTCATGTGTACAGTGCTAGAGGAGGGCAGAAAAGGGCATTGGATCTCCTAGAAGTGGAGTCACAGTAGTTGTGACCTGCCTGATGTGGGTGTGGGGAATCAAGCATAGGTCCTCTACAGGAGCATCCAAATTCCTTTAACTATTGGGCCATCTTTCCAGGCCTGCACAGTAGTGTTTTAGTTGATTGTTAGGTGATATACTTTAGGGTATAATTAATTGATAGCAGTAAAATTACAACTACTTTCCTTGATATCCCCAATTCCCTTTAGTCCTTTTTGTTTGTTTGTTTGTTTGTTTGTTTTGAGATAGGGTCTCTTCTTTGTAGTCCTGACTGTCCTTGAAATCCCTCAAATTCCCAAAGACCTGCCTGCCTCTTGTCTTCCAAATTATTCTTTTTCTTATTTCTTTTTGTGTTTCCTTCATTTCTTTTTTAGTTTTTGTCTCTCTTGCCCAAGCTTGCCCAAGGTGATTCTTCTGCCTCTGCCTTTTGAGTGCTTGGACGACAGCATGAGATACCAATAATCCCAGAGATACTATTGTGTAAATATTTACAAACAAATACTCATATTTAAGTGATATATTCTTCTTATACTGATTATAGTTACCTAATTTTGCAAACAAAACACCAATATGAATAAACAAATAGTACCTTATACATTTTGGTCATATTTTAAAAATGGCTGGCAGAATCCTCAGAGGCAACCCTTATGAATATAACATATGTTCAGTATGACAGTTTTTCTGTTGTGCTGTTTTGTAGCTTCAAGGCTATCTTTCCTTCCTGATGCTGTGGGTTTTTTTTTTTTTGTTTGTTTTGTTTTGTTTTAACTCATTAGGTTTTCACTTATTTTTTTAGTACCCTCGTTTTTCTTCTTCCCTTTTTGATTTTTGGGAATGTTTTCCTTGATGTTTATAATTATTTCAAACAATTGAATCCTGTTTGTTTTTAAGACAGGGTCTCACTATATAGCCCTGGTAGCCTGGAACAGAATTGGGAGTGTTGGGATTAAAGGTGAGCCACCACCATACCCAGCTCTTTGGTAGTATTTTAAATTAATAATTCAATCTTTGGTTCTTTTCAGCTGTTTCTTCAAAGATGCTACACATCTTTAATTCCAGCAGTTGGGAAACTGAGGCAGAAGAGTCAGACATTCTAGCTAATGTGGTTTACATAGTGAGATACCCTGTCTCAAAAGAAAAGAAAAAAAAAAACTATAAGAATGGAGGAAAAAAAGGATTCCATTACTTCTAATTTTGTATGTAGAAAATTCTAGATAGAAGGCACCAGATAGCCAGAGTACAAGTGTTACTGTATCAGAATTGAACAGGCTGCAATTTTTGACATGTTCAGTTCTGTGTAACCTTACTCTAAAAAGTATTTTGAGATAAGGTCTCACTCTGTAGCTCTTCCCGTCAGGTCTAGAACTCACTGTGGTACCACTGGCTTCAAGTTAATGCCAGTCCTACTGCCTCAGCCTCCCAAATTCTGAGGCTGCAGGCATGAGGCGCTATGTCTGCCTTTGTGTGAACTTTTGTAGTTTAATTTCTGAAGCAACACTTTAGGCTATTGTAATGTTTCTCTTAAATCTGAGAAGTATGCTGATTTTAAAAAAAAATGCTGAAGTAGGTGTCCCCAAGAATATAATGGCACTAATTTTTGGTACTTGTCAAGACTCTATCCTTTGTATAATGAGTAAAGACAAGATTGGAGCATAGTCTTTGGATGTAGTTTCTTTAGAATTTGTTTTTATATTTCCATTATTATTATAGTAGCATCTTAAAGTTTGTATAAGCCTTTTCTCCACTTCTATTTATTTATATTTATATTTTGTGTGTGTTGCTGTTTTGCCTGGATGTATGTCTACGTGAGGGTGTTGGATCCCCTGGAACTGGAGTTACAAGTTACAGACAGCTGTGAGCTGCCATGTAGGTGCTTGGAATTGAACCCAGGTCCTCTGGAAGAGGAGCCAGTGGTCCTAACTGCTGAGCCATCTCTCTAGCACCCACTTAACTTTTTTTTTTTTTGTAATTAAAAAGCTTGTCAAGACGGTTATGGCTGGAATTATACCAGTAACTATTAGTGATTATTGTTAAAGTACAGAACTGTATTTAACCAAAGGATTATTATGAAGAAATAGCCTCTTTAGGCTGGAGAGATGCCTCAGGTTAAGAGCACTGGCTGTTCTTCCAAAGGTCCTGAGTTCAATTTCCAGCAACCACATGGTGGCTCATAACCATCTATAATGAGATCTGGTGCCCTCTTCTTGCCTGCAGACACAGATGCAGACAGATTGACTCCTCAGTATAGTAGTCACGTTGGCTCATGTGAGAACACAAGCAAGGGGTTAATTTTGCATTTCTTAAATTATCTCCTTGCCCTGGAGTAGACTAGAAACTGGCCATAGGTTTTTATATATAATTTCTACAATATTATGTGGATGTGCAGCTTATATTGGAAAAAAAAAAAAGGGTAGCAATACCTTGTCTCTTTAGAAGTTCAAGAGAGATTAGGTAAACAAGAAGCTACTACTTTTCAGTTCTTTCTAGCTCTAGCTTTCTTGTCAGGGAAGGGGATATTATTCAGAAAAAAGGGGCCTGCTGTGTTCCAAGCTGACTGAGTGATAAAACATCCTAGACTAACATCTACAGATGGTGGTAGTGGACACTTCATTTGTCATACTAGGAAAATGTGGGAGAGCTTCCCCGTCCTTGCCTCTGCTTCATTTATAGACATGGGTACTTCCATTGCTTTGTATGCTGATACATTTCCTGCTCATTCTTTTTTTTCCTGAAGCTGAGCTCTGAGCTAAGTCTATACAAAGAAATATTGACTGCTTTTGTAAATTGCTTGCCATTAATGCCTGATGATATACAGTAAGATAGGATTCTGCATACCATTAATATGTCAAGTATTACAAACTTTAAAGGTTCTTTTGAAATTACAATACTAAACTCAGTTCACTTTTGCTAACTTCACAGTTGTTGATCACATAGCATGGTCATCCACTCACAGCTTAAAAAAATACAGGGAGCATCGGAGAGAATGGGTAAAGTAAAATTTTGATGTTTTTAAAATAGCACCTAAAGTTATGAAAGTTCAATTAATTTATTGTTTGTAAGGGAGGGAGAGGGTGGGAGATATTGAGGGGGAGGGGGTTGGGAAAATAGCATGCATGTGTACATTGTCAGATACTACTTAGGCCAAGGTCTTATGTGCTACTAGTAATATTTATATCAGGTAGTAGGATCATAATTTCATATTGGATATTACAATGAAGTTTTTCTTCCTGCACAGCAGATCTGAAGGGAATTTTGAGAGCAGTAATGAGTACAGTTTGAATAGGAACCCTGGTTTTAACAGGAGGCCTGTCCATAGCCTGGAGTGAAACTGATGCCTCAGTACCACCTTAGTTTAAGTAACTGGAGAGTTACATAGTATCTGAACATAGTAGGTGACCATTATTAATAAAACTTTTGGTGCTTCTGTTCAAATGAAAAATTTGTGGCCACCCAAAATTCTAGATCAGATTCCTCACTGGACCTGGTGATGCGGGCCTATATATAATCCCAGCACTTGGAGATAGAAGTAGGAGTTTTAGAATCACAGTCATTTTTTTTTATAGTGAGTTCAAGGATAACTTGAGCTGCATGAGACCCTGCCTTAAAAGTAAAAAAGTCTAGTTCTTTATTCTAAAATCTTGACATTATGATTATATATATATATATAGATATATATATATATATAGCTTAATTAATTTTAAGTGGAAGTTAAAAATAGGGCAGAAAGACTTTTTATAGGTAATATAATTTGTTTTTGACTCAACTTGATCTAATTGCTGCCCTGTTTTAAATTTTTCTTAAATTTTATTTATATGCAATGAACATAGATTGAAGAAAGATTTTTTTTAAAAACACCAAATTCTACCCTCTAAAAATTGTACTTTTGGCTTCAGTTTGTGTATTTCCAAACATACTTAGCCATGTGCCAAAGTTGACTATAGTTTACTTACTGTTTCCACCAAACCTTCAAGCCCTAGTAAACTTTTGTCCATGATACTATTATGGTCTTCAATGCTTCTTTCTCCTCTAAGTCTTGTGTAGTGTCCAGATTTTGGCTTCTGCTTATTCCATGAAGCCTTTCCCAGTTTCTCCAATCTTTTTGGTGGTAGTTCTTCTATGTTTAAAACACCGCTTTGGCACTTGAATTACGCTGTTTTAGGTTATTGTTTATTTGTATGTTCTACTTCTCTAGTGAAAATGCAGCTCCTGGGGAGCAGAATATTTGTCTTAAGCTCTGTTTTCATTTTGTAACACAGAGGATAGGGTCACTAATTGGTTTGATTCTATGATTAGGATCTAGTATCATTGACAGGGCAGTTTCCTCCTATTATTTATTATTAGTTTTTTAAACTAATATTATTAGTTTATTAGGGGAATTAACTCAGATTTTTTTTTTTTTTTTGTACAATTAAATGACCAGGGAAGACAAATGTTGAATTGATAAGATCCTATAGTATAGGGTTATTTTGTTCATACTCACTTCCTATTTGTAGCCTTTTTTTTTCCCCCTTTTTTCTCTTATATGGGTGCTATTTACCTGGTTTCTTTTGAAAAACATGGTTTGGGCCAGATATTATGACAAAAATTAAAATTTAAAGCATTTTTGTCTTAAAATTGTATAGTTAAATTATACTTTATGTCATAAGCCCAAATTTATTCAAATTCTAAAAAATTTTGTAATTTTGCAGCCAAAATTGTTTAAAAACATATTAACCATAAAGTCTCCCAAAGTAGAACTTCTAAAATATCAATAGGCAGATCCTTACTTGCAAGTCCCTCTCAAGTATTATTATATTTTGTCTACTAGTTTTATTATTTCATTAAAAAGATTTTTATAATGGCTAGTATCTGAAAGCTATTGTTGATATTTTTGCTACAGTTATCAAATGTTTATGGAATACCTGCTTGTTTGTAGTGAGGTATTTTTGGTACTTTTGTAGTGAGGTATTTTTGCTACTTTTTTTGGCATTTATAGGGATTGATTCCTTTTTCATTTTAAAGTTTACTAGGGCTACTGTTATTACGTATTTGTAATTGTTCATGCTTTATCTAATAGTGTTTTTAGGGCATGTGTACCTTGTTATTACATTTAATGTGATTTCTTTCTTTCTTTTTTCTTTCTTAAGACAGGGTTTCTCTGTGTAGCCTTGGGTGTCCTGGACTCGCTTTGTAGACCAGGTTGGCCTGGAACTCACAGAGATTCACCTGCTTCTGCCTCCTGAGTGCTGTGATTGCAGGTGTGTGCCACCATGCCCAGCCTTAATGCAGTTTTTTTAAAGCAAAAATGAGCACCCTATTAGATGACATGTTTGATTAATGAAACTTCTGTAAATTTTAACATTATTGTAAGACCTCACGAATATCTATGAACCATGTTTTACAATTGTCTGAACTGACAATACTACTTCATTACCAAAAAGCTTAGATAGCAGGGTAATTCCTAGATTTGTAAGTACCTCTCACCCCCTAAAAATTCATCACTTTTAAAGTTCTTAACATAATCACAGTAGAGTTTTAAACTAAGTGGTTTTTTTTTTTCCTCCCTCCTCCCAGGATCAAAAAGGGTCTACCTTATTTTTCCTTTCTGGTGTGAGCTTTTTCTAGTTTGGTTCTGATATGAGACACTCACTAGTCTTCTTTGAAGCATTTCTCACATAGACCTAGAGCTCCAGTCTTGGGCTTTAATTATCTTCAGTTACATTTTTCTGTAGGCTTGTATTTGTTAAGTCAGTATTGTTAAAAAAAAAAAAAACAAACAAAAACAAACAAAACACCAAATCAAGCGAACACTCTGATTTTGTTCACTTTTGTTTTCATATACAAGAAACTTTACAGTCAACATGTACTTCTAGGTGCTGTATTGAAATTGCTGGCAGAGTCTATTCTATACAAACTGAACAATCTGGCCCCTTGTTTTATTTGTAAAGGTTCAATGTATCTATGCCTGCCTACTTCAATCTGCAAGGGAGTTTCAGAAAGGCCCCGCATTCGCCGAGCCGTGAGTTATCACTAACTTTTCAGATGTGTTAATGAATGTGGAACAGAAGCAGTTGTGTTTAAAAGAAAATAAAAGGCCATCAAAGTGACCTATATTATAGTAGCAGGCTTAAACACTAAATGAATTATTCCAAATTGTGTCACAAATAACCTACTAGAGACTAGCCTCAGAAAACCTATTGTTGAACTACTCTGAAGCTATGATTTTAGCAGTATTATTTTTCTTGAAAATGTATGTGTCCTAGTTGCAAATCAGAATGTCTTTAAATCTTTTTAACCAAGTTAAAACAATTTGAACAAAATCTTACCCCATAGTGTATAGTTGAATTAAGTTAAGCTCTTCAATGTAAGACCACTTAAAAGGGGTAAAGTTTGAACTTTTTTGTTATTCACATGTGAAACTACAGAAGTTAATTTAAGAATTACTTCCTAGTTGAAATGTTTGGAGTGCTCTAGGTATACTGTGAGCTGCAGAGGTGTTTACAATTCTCTTTGGGTTTGTTTCAATGGTTTTTGCTTCAGTAATTCACCAGTAGGTTTTCGTTTATCAGTGATATCAATTTAAGGCTAAACCACATTTTAGGGCTTACCATTCTGCATAGAGGAAACAACCTGTGAGTTTTTCTTTTATTTCTTCAGAGATTCTAAGCAAAAGAGTTGTAACTAACATTTCTATGTTGTTACTCTAGCTAGTTACCTTTCCTTTTTCTAGATTGTTTAAGCTTTTGAGTAAATAGCTATATTTGATAAGCAGGTTGGTTGCTTCTGTTGCTTAGGATTTTTTTTTTTTTTTTTAATTTTATGAGCACAGAATGTATTTTATTTTGCCTGGTTTGGCAATATATAGCACAGACCACATGAAAGTTGGATGTATGGAATCTTTGGAGGTATTAAAGTTAACATTTCATTTAGGCAATGTGGCTTTGTTTGACTGGTGTGTAAGTCCTTCTTCCAGGTTTGTACGTTCTTAAACACCTTATTCTACCCTCTAACTCCTCCCAGCAGCAAAAGGGAGACACTTCAACTGGAACAAAATAGTGGAAGAAATGGCGTCTGGGGTTCAGTGGGGATTCGCAGTGTGTATGCAATGTTTGCAAGATTACTTTTATGTTTTCAATTAATGTAAATAATTACAAAATAAATTAGTGCTTACTGTCAAGAAGAGACCATTGTATACCAGTAGAAACTCTTGGTGGGTCTGCTGCAAGTTGCTTAACCTCCTGGGGCCTCATTTTTCCTCATCTGCAGTATGAAGGAGTTGGTCTTGATAATCTGTAAAGTCCACTCCTGCTCTAAAATCTTATGCTTTTCTAAAGTCCTTTTATTTAACAGAATGCTTTGCTTTCCCACTTTGACTATTTGAATTACATTTGCAGTACATATACTGCAGCTGCATGTTGTCTAAAATAGTTTTTCTATAGGGTGTTATATAAAAACTAATCCCTCCTGGGTTGATTTATAGTGTGTGTATACAGTCACACACCAAAAGCTAGTGATAACTAGGACTTTCAAAAAATAAACTGTCTAGTTGTCTAACCTTGAATATTATTAACTTTTCTATATTACAGGAGATACTACTCGTCAACGAATCAAATTCAGCGATGACAGAGTATGCAAGAGCCACCTTCTCAACTGTTGCCCCCACGATGTCTTATCTGGAACTGTACGTGGTTATTAAATTGTCTTATTATTAGTGTGCTAAGAAAATGAAGCTCTTGGTAAAGTCCCAGTTTCTTTTCTTTGGCAAATTACATTTTATTGGTTTTAGTTTTTTGAGACAGGGTTTCTCAGTAGCCTTGGCTGTTCTGGACTCACTTTCTAGACCAGGCCGGCCTTGAACTCACAGAGATCCGCCTGCCTCTCCCTCCCCTGAGTGCTGGGATTACAGGCGTGTAAGTGTGTAAGCCAATGTGCCTGGCTACTTTCTCTTATTTTTTAGCTGAGTTTTGAAGCAAGCAGTGATTTGGATGGTAAGTGATTTTACAAATATAACAAAGGAAGGGACTGAAGGTTCAAAATATAGGGGCCAAGATGTTCATGGTTTTTGCTGAACTTGCCTGCAGTGTGTTTTCTGTAGTTTGTCTTTGTTTCACTTTGTCCTACTAGTGTTATCTACTTTTAAATTACTTGTTATGTTTGTACTTTACCTAAGTTATTATTACTTACATTTGAATGTCTTTCATTCTTCTCTTTGTAGATTTTTTAGAATTAGTGTAAGAAAATACAAGAGGAGAATTATTTTTCCCCCACGAGATAGGGTTTCTTTGTGTAAGCCCTGCCTAGCCTCTGAACTCCGAGATCAGCTTGCCTCTGCCTCCTTGAGTGCTGGGATTGCAGGTGTGCACCAGCACATCTAGCTTAACTGACAAGTGGAATTTTTAAGTGTGTGCTATCATCTGCTTTTGCTTTTCGTTAGCATTCTAGGTGCTTCCATTCTCTTTCATTTTGTAATTTGACTTGTATTTTTAAAAACTTTTTATTTAGGTTTATTTGTTGTTATTATTATGTGTCTATGAGTGTTTTGTACCACATGCATTCCTGATGCCCAAGGAGGTGAACTTCTGTGTGGGTCCTGGGAATTGAACCTGGGCCCTTTGTAAGACAAGTGCCCTTAACAAGAGCTAACTCTCCAGCCTCTCAGTAGCACAGGCAGGCCTTGAACTAATAATAATTCTTTTGCCTCCAACAAATCCTACTGGGTTGTGGTAACATCTTTATGTCCTTTTCTACTATTGCTTCTTTTTTTTCTTCTCAACTCATCCTGCTGTGTTATTTTAATCATTTCTTAGTTTTGTCCAAATAGTTGCACATTCTTCTTTGTCTAGAGTAATTTTTTGTTGTTTGTTTTTGAGACAGGGTTTCCCTGTGTAGCCTTGGCTGTCCTGGACTCACTCTGTAGGCCAGGCTGGCCTTGAACTCAGAAGATCCCCCTGCCTCTGCCATCCAAGTGCTGGGGTTACAGGTGTGCACCACCACCGCCCAGCACAAGTATGTGTATGTGTTTTCAGAACCAGCATTTTACTGTTTACGTTATTGTGACATACTGTTGAGAGGTTTTTATATTTGCCTTTCGTTTATAAAAATCATGTTGGGGCTGGAGGGATGGCTCAGAGGTTAAGAGCACCGTCTGCTCTTCCAGTGGTCCTGAGTTCAATTCCCAGCAAGTACATGGTGGCTCATAACCATCTATAATGATATCTGCTGCCCTCTTCTGGCGTGAAGGCACACATGCAGGCAGAACACCATGTAAATAATAAATAAATCTTAAAAAAAATAAAAATCATGTCTAGGGCTGGAGAGATGGCTCAGCATTTAAGAGCACTGTCTACTCTTCCAGTTGTCCTGAGTTAATTCCCAGCAACCACATGGTGGCTCACAACTATCTACAGTGAGATCTGGTGCCGTCTTCTGGTGTGTATGCATGCATGCAGGCAGAACACTGTATACATAATAAATAAAATCTTTTACAATAGTTAAATATTTGTTCTTTTGAGCGAGGCGAAGACAGGTAGTCTTGCTGTCCTGGAAGTCACTATGTAGACCAGGTGGGCTTTGAGCTCACTGGGCTCCTCCTGGTTCTGCCTTCCCAGAACTGGGATTAAAGGTTTGAACCACCATGCCTAGCTTTTGTATGCTATTTTATGATAGGATTCTTTTATATTTCTACCCGTTGGCTATTACTATATTATTATCACTAACTTGCTTCATTTGTTTTTCGTTCTGATATACAGTATGACAATAAAACCTTTACTGTTTGGCACATCCATAGTTAAAGTTGGATCTGTTACTGTATCTGGTTTTTGTCAGTGACTTTATATATTCATTAATATACTCTTAAGTTCAACAACATTCACAGCTATACAGAAAAACTTATCTCTAAAAAAACAACCAGACACACCGTCACAACACAATTCACCAGAGAGTTGAAATACATCTCATAGTAATGTATTTCCTATCACACCCTCTGTTTTCTGACAGTTTTACCTGGTTAGTGCCTTGAACTGCAGGGATATCATGCCCCCATTAGCACTAGCCCAGTAATACAGCTCCAAATCATATACACGTAAAGCAGATATTATATGTCTTTTTCCATCTCTCTCTTAAATTTGTGTTGAGTGTGCACTCTTTCTGAAACATTTGCTAAAGGAATGTTTTGTTGTCCTCCAGGATGGTTTTTCTGTGTAGCTCTGCCTCTCCTAGAACTCTAGAGCCAGACTGGCCATGAACTCATTGATCCATCTGCCTTTGCTTCCAAAATGATGCAGCTAAACACGTGTGCCACCACACCCAGCAAAGAGTGTAATTTTTAGAGACAGTGTAAGACTGTAGCCTGAGCTTGCCTCCTTCATCTTCCTGCCTCAGTCCCTAAAGGTAATTTTATAGGCTTGGACCACTAGGCCCATTAGAGGGAAAATGAATTTTGATTTTTTAAAATTTATTATTTCTAAATTATTATTTTATATGAATGGCTGTTTTGCCTACATACCTGTGTTTACCATGTGCATGTCTGGTCCTTTGGAGGCCAGATGGCATTGGGATCCCCCAGAACTAGAGTTACAGACTGTTGTAAGCCACCATGTGGGTCCTGGGAATTGAACCTAGGTCCTAGAAAAGCTAGGTTCTCTTAACCTCTGAGCTACCTGTCTAGCCCCAGATATTTTCAGGGTTACATGTTTTTAAGGGTTACATGTTCTGTCAGACTCCTGTAGAGAGGCTCTTAAGGTATTTATTTCTAAATCACAAAATGGTATTTTTAAAGCGTATACCCATCTAACTTTGTCCACGTTTCATTCCTTAAGTTCTTAGAATTGCTTATTCAAGTCATGTGTATTTAATAGTCATGATTTGGGAAACGTGGGTAGTACAAAACATGGTTTTTGTAGAGGGAAGAACAGAAATAGGCCATTTTCTTAAGAAGCTTAGAGTCCATTTGGAATAATAACATCCACCAACGTCCAGAAACTAAATTAAAAGCACTTATCAGAATCTACTTTGTTAAACAGAATTTTAAAGAGCAGTTACTAGGATCAGAGATAATTGGTCAAGAACTGTTGGATAATGAGTTTGAAATGGAGAAAATAAAATACAGAGCTGAGTTTTTGCCATCATTACCCGAATATCTGTTAATTAAAATACCTGGAATAAACTTGTGGAAAATATAATGAAGTAAGTTATTCTGTAATTTTTAAAGAAACTTCTTTATCACAGTCATTTGAATCAGAGTAAACCGAACATTTTACTTTGTTTCATTAACTCCTTTTATAAAGAAAAGTACCACCATCAGCCATGGTATTTTTAAAGCGTATACCCATCTAACTTTGTCCACGTTTCATTCCTTAAGTTCTTAGAATTGCTTATTCAAGTCACGTGTATTTAATAGTCATGATTTGGGAAACGTGGGTAGTACAAAACATGGTGGGGGGATCACTTGGTTTTGGAAGCACTATGCTCCTTTTTGTTGTTATTGTTGATGGTGTCAGGATGGCACTTGAGCGGAATAGAGTCTCTGGAGAATTGTCTCCTATTGTGGTTTCTTCTGTAGTAGCTTCTAATTAGTTAGGAGACTAGGGCCATGGAAATAGTTGCATTGATTTTCACAAGGGCAGGTAATTGTTGGGAGTTTCTTTTTAGGCTTGCTTGCCTTTTTTTAGGCCATAACTGATAGCAGTAAAGCAGATACTGGTATCTGTTGGTATGCTGGTATGGAGAGGAAAAAAAAAAACTGATGGCTGGTTTCTGGAATTTAGAGACACTGTCTTTTGTAATCCCTGTTGTCTTGCTAAATCCCGGAGAAATGAGGTTGACAGTGAAGGTATTGGAATGGGGATATACCTCATAGCTAATTTTAGAAGGATGCAAATAAAGTAAAAATCTCTTAAGACTAGTTTTAGTTAATTTGGGTTTTTGTTGTTGTTTGGGGTTTTTGTTTTTGACTGAGGGCCAAACTCTGGACCCAGTAAGTTGTATCACTGAGGCTGAGTTCCCAATTCCAGAAGGCTGGCTTTAAAAACAAGCCCTGGTCTGGTAAAGATGGCTTCAAAGGTAAAAGTACTTGCTATGCAAGCTTAGCAGTTCTGAGTTCCTTCCTCAGAACCTTTGTAAATGTAGAGGGAGTGAACAGACTCTACAAGGTTGTTCTTGGATCTCCTGTAGCACCCACTACCGCACACATGCACACAAGCAATAATAATGAAATTAATATTAGCTAGGCACAGTGGCACATGCTGGTAATCTCAGCATTTGGGGAGGCAGAGGCATGCAGATCTCTTTGAGTTCTAGGCCAGCCTGGTTTACAAAGAGAGTCCAGGACAGCCAAGGCTGCACAGTAAAACCTTGTCTTGAAGAAATACCCCCCCCCCCCCAAAAAAAAAAAAAAAAACTTTCAGAGCAAATTCTGACCTAAGAAACACATTTTTGAGAGGTGAATAATTGAGACTAAAACATGCAGAAAGCCACATAAAGGTTAAGTCAGAGGCCAAGTATGGTAGCACATGCCTTTAATCCCAGCACTTGGGAGACAGAGGCTAGCCTGGCCTACAATCAGGGAAGAGAAAAATTAAGAATAAGGTTAATTATCAGTCAAATAAAGAATTCCTTCTTAAAAACCGGAAACAGATTTGTTATAAGAGATTATAGAATACAGTTTGTAAATTAGTTTTAGATCACACAGATTTATCTCTGTCATGCCATACTGTAAAACATTTTTATTTAGTTATATATTTGCTTGTTTATTTTAGGGTGTGTGTGTGTATCTCTTTGTGTATGTGTGCAGGTGCCTATGGAGGTGTCACATCTTATGGAGGCAGAGCATATAGGCCATTGGCCATTGTGAGATGTCTGATGTGGGGGCTGGGAACTGAAATTGTAGTATTCTGGAAGGGAAGCATGTGTTCTAAACAGCTGAACCATTTTTCCAGCCCCTTAGCCTAATTTTTTGAGGTAGTGTTATGTAGCATTCGAAGTGCTAGAATTACAGGCATGCTTTGTGTAGTGGTTTGAGACAGGGTCTCACTGTGTAGCCCTGGACTGACTATGAAGATCAGGTTCAAATGAACAAAGATCCTCCTGCTTCTCCCTCCCAAGCCTGGGGTTAAAGGCCCACACCATCACACCTTGTCCCATAGCTTTTTTTGCTTTTTTTTTTTTTTTTTAATTTATTTATTCATCCCATAACTCTTTTGACTAGTTTTGGAATTTCTATAATTCTCTGCTTATAGCCTAATTATTTATAAATTTTTGTAAATACAAGGAATGACTTTGTATTTATTTAAATTTTACCTGCTCTATATCATCTTTTAAAATCCTCCAAAATCGTGATTTGGGAAATGTATCAACATCTCCAGTTTGGGATATTATGCAAGATGATTGTTCATATACTTTGTTTCATACATATACAGGTTATTGTCCAACATTTAAAAAAAAAAAAAGCAAGGTTGCCTGAGTCATTTTATAATCTGTATATAAAACTAAGGCTCAGACTGGTGTAGTAGATACTATAATACTGTTCCCTGAGAGGAACAGGAACAAAACAAGAAACTGTTTTCTTATCTGGTTTTTGTTTTGCTTTGGGTATGGGTAGGGAAAAGGAGTAAGGGCCCACTGATAACGCTTACTGGTTATTGTCCTCAGACTTGCCCTTCCAGTCTCAGCATTTCAGATGCTGTAATTGCAGGAGTGTTTTACTAAGGTGTGCATGTGATAGTACTATAATTTTGCTTTCTCCTTCTTTGGGTCTTCCCTTCCTTTCCTCGAACCTATCCTGTTTTTCTTGTCTGTTTGTCCCTCTGTGATGAGATCCTGCCCCTATTTTTAAGATTCATTTTTATGAGTATTTTGTGTATGTCTGTGTACCACATGTGTGCTCGGTGCTGGAGAAGGCCAGAAGAGGGTATCAAATCCTTTCTAACTGGAATTCCATATGGCTATTAACTGCTGTGTAGAGTGCTGTGAATAGAACCGAGTATTTGGAAGAACAGCCAGTGTTCTTATCCCCATTGAGCTTGAGACTCTTGAGGTGCTAGGATTACGGATATTTGCTGCCATACCCAGCATTGTTTCCCAATCATTAGGTCCACTTTAAATGCATCCTCCTAAGAAACATTTTCTGGGATGATGAGGTGGCCCAGTGACAACTTGAGTTCAAGTGCTGTGATTGGTAGTGAAAGAGAACTAATTCCTACATGTTGCTCTCTGCCCTCCACATTGACACGATAGCAAGCATGAAAACAGAGAATAAAATGTAATAAAATAAGAAAGGTCTTTTCTGGCAACCTCATTCCAAAAAGCCTCTTAAAGTGTGTTGGGTAACATTACTAATTCATTAAGATTAATTGTTTTTCATCGCCTTTTTTGAGGGATGCGCTTTGTGTTTTCCCCTGAGATTGTCTCATATATGAGCCCAGGCTGATCTTGAAGTTGCTGTGTACCTACATGTGGCCTTGAACTTCCAATCCTTTTGCCTCACACCCATGGAGTGCTGATATTCCAGGTCTGTACCACCACATCCAGTTTATGGAAAGCTAAGGATTGAACCCAGACCTTTATCCACGCCAGATAAGCACTGAGCAACCAAGTTACCTCTCTAGCCCTAATTGTCAGAAATTTTGTGTTTTGAAGGTCTATTAAATGAAGAGGTGTATTTATTGTATTACTTAATATATATTCTGAAGAGAACTTGATACTGATAAACTTTTTATAATGTTTTCAACGTACTGTCTTTATTTTCTTTCCTAGAGAATGGATCTTGGAGAATGCCTGAAAGTCCATGACCTGGCTTTAAGAGCAGATTATGAAATTGCATCCAAAGAACAGGACTTTTTCTTTGAACTTGATGTAAGAACCTCATATCCATACTCTTGCAGTAAAATATTTTGAACATGAACTAGTGTCCCTATTTGGAAGGGCTAGGAAGGTATCTTTGATTATATGAAGGTTAATACATAGATAATATGCTTTTTCCCCTAGTGTGTAATGCCGAGATGAAACCCAAGGCTTTATAGATAGTAGACAAACAATATCACTGACCTAGCCCTAACTCCCAATTTTAAATATATAAGAGATTGAATATTTATGAAAATATATAAAGGATTCTTTTTTGTTGTTGTTGTTGTTATTCTTAAATTTGTTTTGTTTTTGAGATAGGGTCTCTCTGTTGTTAATTAGCTCTGGCTGTTCTGGAATTCACTATGTAGACCAGACTAGTCTCAAATTCACAGAGATTGATCTGCCTCTGTCTCCCAAGTCCTAAAATTAAAGACATGTGTCACTATACTCAGCCAAAAGAGATTCTATTAAAAAAAAAAAAAATCAGCCAATTTTCCCAACAAAAGTAAAAATATTACATTTAACAAATGTAAGCCACTCGTTTTTGTTTTTAAAGTCTTTGCCAAAAAGTAATCTAGTGAATTTTTCCATTAATAGTTACTTTGATAGATAATAGCTAGATCTTTTCTGTTCTGGGAATGAAATACAAGGCCTTATTTATAAAAGTCATGCACTGCATCACCAGACTACTCCGCAGATTCAGGACCACGTGGGTTTTTTTGTTTGTTTGTTTTGTTTTTTCTTTTTTTTTCTGTGTAGCTCTGGCTGTCCTGGAACTTACTTTGTAGACAAGGCTGGCCCTCACAGAGGTGACTGTGCTGCTGCCCACCTCTGCCCCTTCCACCTCTGCCTGCCTCTGCCTCTGGAGTGCTGGGATTAAAGTAAGGCATGTGCCACCACTGTCTGGCTTGGTACCATGTTTTTAATGTAAAATAATAAAAATAAAGAAAACACAGTTTAGGTATCAAAGAGTTACACATGTGACTTCGTATTGTTCTTTTTAAAGAAGAATTTCTTGCCAGGTGATGGTGCATACTTTTTAATCCAGCACTTGGGGTTCAGAGGTAGGCAGATCTCCATGAGTTTGAGGCCAGCCTTGTCTACAGAGTAAGTTCCGGGGTAGCCAGAGCTACACAAAGAAACCCTGTCTTGAAAAGAAAGAAAGAGAGAGAGAGAGAGAGAGAGAGAGAGAGAGAGAAAGAAAGAAAGAAAGAAAGAAAGAAAGAAAGAAAGAAAGAAAGAAAACAAAATTTCTTGTATTAAAATAGAAAAGCTTGGGCCTGAAGAGGTGGCTTGTCTAAGAGCACTTCCAGCACTCATATTGTCGCATAAGCATAATTCCAGTTGTAGGAGATCTGATGCCATCTTCTGACATCTGCAGTACCATGTATATACATGGTACACATAGAGATATGCAGATGTAGTATCATGCGTATGAAATAAATACCTAAAAGAGAAATTAAACTACCACAAAATGTTTTATAGACTCCATCAACTTCTTAAACTTTTTATTTTACATTTTTATGAAATACATGTACATAAGACATAAAAAGATTTATTTATTTCTCTTTTTTTTATTATGTATGCAATGTTCTGCCTGCATTCCAGAATAGGGTACCAGATCCTAGTATAGATGGTTATAAGACCCCTATGAGTGCTGGGAATTGAACTCAGGACCTCTGGAAGAGCAAACAGTGCTCTTAACCACAGAGCCATTTCTCCAGCCCCCCATAAAACTTGTATGGTGCTCTTTATTAGTGAAATTAGGTAATTTAATTTAGTTGAGGCTAGCAGTAAATATGTCCTACAGTCTTCTTTGAATATAAGAGAACTTTTCTAATGGAAATGAAAGTCCTCTATAGAAATTCATTACTGTCTGGGTATATGTTACAAGGGAATAGTACCATCAGTTGAACATTGTGATTGATCTTATTTTCAGTCTTTTTGCATTTTTTTTTTCTTTCTTTCTTTTTTTTTTTTTTCCCCTCCCTGAGACAGGGTTTTTTCACTGTAGCCTTGCCTATCCTGGACTTGCTTTGTAGACCAGGCTGGCCTCGAACTCACAGAGATCTGCCTGTCTCTGTTCAGTGCTGGGATTTTTTGGCTAAAGCAAATGCTCTTAAATGCTGAGCTATATACCCAGTCCTGTGAGGGAGTCATTTTATACATCTTGGATGTATATATTTATTCTGCTGTAGAAAAAACAGTTAGTCAAAATGGCTCATTTGTAGAACCAACAAGCTCATTGTTATTTTTACTCCTCTAGGATGCTGTCTTTGACTTTACATAAGGAAATGAAAGAGATTTGTCTGTGTGTGTGTGTTTTAAACTTTGGACTTTGGCTTACTTGGCTACTTTTTAAGTTTATGCAAAATGAGTTTTAATTTTTATCTGATGTACATATTCGTTACTTTTCTATTGCTGTGGTAAAAACACTATGCCATAGTAACTTACTTGGATGTAAAATTCCACAGGAATATAGAGTCCATTGACTATCATGGCAAGGAGGCCTGGCAGCAGAGCAGTAGACAAGCAAGAGAACAAACTGGGAATGGCTTTTGAAACCTCAAAGCCTGACCTACTGGGACACTTCTGTCAGGGCCTTCCGCCTCTTAAACCTACCTAAACAAGGCTGGTAACTAGGGACCAAGACTTTTTTTGTTGTTGTTTGGTTTTTTAGTTTATTTTTATTTAATGTACATTGCTATTCTGTCTAAATATATGTGTTTGTATGAGGGTGTCAGATTCCCCTGGAACTGGAGTTACAGACAGACAGTTGTGAGCTGCCATGTGGTTGCTGGGAGTTGAGCCCTCTCCAGCCCCAAGTCTTAAAGTCCTTGAGAATATAGAGGATATCTCATTCAAACCACCACAGTTTGACATTTGTTTTAAAATTTTCTTTTTTTCTTTTTTTTTTCCTTTGAGATTTTTTGTAGACAATTTCTCTGTGAAGCCCTTTCTTTTCTGGAACTGCCTCTGTAGACCAGGCTGGCCCCAAACTCCAGAGATCTGCCAACCTTTGCATCTAGAGCTGGGATTAAAGGTGTGCACTATCATGCCTAGCTTTAAAGTTAACTTTGAAATAAATTATTATTATAAACATTAAATATACCTCTAAATACAACTTCATTAGATTTTTTTTTCTGATATAGGCATTGCTAAATTTGTTAATGGCTTATTTTATCTTTAATATAAAAATTTGAAAACCACAGAATAAATTATCTAAATATCCGGAAGTAAATCTTGTTAACATATAATGGTCTTTCCATGGTGTGTGTCTATGTCTATCTCTGTCTGTGGTCAAAGATTAGCTTGCCGGAATTGGTTCTCTCCTTCTGCATTGTTGTCGTAGGAGACATTGTTGTCTGCATTGTTGAGCTCCTAGAATGGAGCTCAGGTCATTAGACTTATCTTCAATCAAATATCTTGATAGCCCAAAACCAGTTTCTCTTGGGTTGGTTGTGTTTTGAGATGTAGTCTTGATTGTATTGCTTTGATTGACTTTACACATGTTGTGTTACTCAAGCTGCTCTTCAGCTTGCCATTCTTTTTTTTTTCACCCTCCCAACTGCTGAGGTTACAGGGGTGCACTACTGAATTGTTGGGTTTTTTAAGAACGAAATTATTTTTATTATTGTTTTGAGGGTGTTTTAGGTTCTTTCCTTTGGACATTCTTCTAATTTATTTATTTATTTGAATTACTTGAAACTTAGGGCATAACACATGATAGGCAAATGCTGTACCACTAACCCATGTCACAGCCTTGTGCTTTTCTTGTTTGAGGGTTGTTGGCCTGCGTAAAAGAGTGTTGGAGATTAAATCCAGGTCTTCCTGCATAATAGGAAAGCAATTATGTGGTTAGGGCTTCATCCCTTACTCAAAATATAGTGATTAGTAAAGATATTTTTGGATAATTTTGATATGTGGTGGTAATTGTTTTATATTAAAATTTCTAGGCCATGGATCATCTGCAGTCCTTCATTGCAGATTGTGATCGAAGAACAGAAGTGTCGAAAAAAAGATTAGCAGAAACTCAAGAAGAGATAAGTGCTGAAGTGGCAGCAAAGGTAAGAATTTTAGTCCTTTCATTAGTTCAAAGCATAGGGTTTTTTTGTTTTGTTTATTTTGGCCTTGTTATCATTGAGATAGTGTCTCTTTGTAGCCCTGCTTGTTCTGGAACTTACTTTGTGACTTAAAACTCACAGAGATCTACCTTTGCCTCTGCCTTCCAATTGCTGGGATCTATTTCGTGTGCTTCCTTTTTTTTTCCCCCCCTCCCCTTTTTGGTGTTTTGAGACAAGGTTTCATAGGCTGAACATTGTGCTAGTTTTGAACTCACCAGAAATCTACCTTTATTTGCCTCTGAGTACCATGATTAATGAAGGAATGTGCTGCCATGCCAGGTTCATTCCAGCTTTTGATTTTTCAGTAATTAGGTTGTAAACCTAAGGAGGGAATTCTGTAGAGTTGTTTTTTTTACAAAAACATAAAGTAACATTAATAATTACAATTTTTTTCAGAATTTGCCAGTCATACATGCATTTATTTACATATAATGTATGTGTAGTTCCCTTTTTTTTTTTTTTTTTAAATTTCTTAAGACTTTTTTCCCTTTGGTTTTTTTGAGACAAGCCTTGACTGTGTTGGAACTCATTCTGTGGATCATGCTGGCCTCAAACTCAGAGATCCTATTGCCTCCCGAGTGCTGGGATTAAAGATGTGCATCACCATTGCCTAGCAAGACTCATTTTTATGTGTATGAATGTTTTGCTCGCACAAATGTTTTGACTTTTTTTTTTAAGTTTATTATGTTCTGCCTGCGTGGCTGCACATCAGAAGAGGGCATCAGATCTCATGGTTGTGAGCCACCATGTGATTGCTGGGAATTGAACTCAGGACCTTTGGAAGAATAGCCAGTGCTCTTAACCTCTGAGCCATCTCTCTAGCCCCTTGTTCTCACATATGAGTTTTAAACATACATATGTGCCTAGTACCCATGGAGGCTAAGTGAGTGCATTAGAACCCTGAAATTGGAGTTACAGTTATGAACCACCTGATAAGGATGTTGGGTCCTGAACCTGGGTCCTCTGTAAGTGTAGCAAGTGTTTTTAGCCTTAACTGAAATATCTCTCTAGCCCTTGAGTCTTTAGTTTTCAATACACATTAAGTTTATGTACCTACCACGGTAGTTTAAGGTATTGCAGTAGCAACAAAAATAATTTTATAGTTGGGGGGTGTTCACCACAATACGAAGAAATACATATTATGGAAGGGCCACAGCATTGGGAAAGTTGAAAACCACCAATATAAGGGGTCTTGTATCTCATGGTTAAGAGATGTAACAAGATTAGGTCCTACAGACCTGTACTGGTTGCACAGTATTGCAGTGGTCATCTACAGGAGAGCTACATAACAGATGACCTTAAACTTAGTGATTCAAACTGCATGTAATAGATCAGTTAGAGTAAACTTGATTGGACAGTATTCTAATATCTGCAGGGATTTTCTCTCACATGTTTTACAGTCAGCTGGAGGCTGCTGAGCTGTGTTTTGAGAGCTGGGCTAACTATGTTTTTTAATGGTTGAAGAGAAGCAGAAACTTCACACCCAGTTGTATAGTGTTTTTTAAGCATTTTCTTAAGACATGCTCGCTCTCCTCCATTCCTATAATTCAGAGCAAATAAACGCTCAAGTTTAAAATTGAGTATGATTGTGAGGGTGTGGATACAAGAAAGATTGAATATCTTTGGCTGTTTATATAATCTTTCAGTTATAGACCATTTAGGGAAATACCACTTTGATAAAAGAATAGTAATAAAACAGTTGGGACCCTTGAGGAAAGCAATGTCTTGGACTGGTAACACTATTAGCTGGTTGCAGTGGTTGCAGTGGTTCACGCCTGTAATCTCAGCACTCAGGGAGGCAGAAGCAGGCAGCTCTCTGTTAAGTTCAAGGCCAGACTGGTTTATAAAGCAAGTCCAGTACAGAGTTAACAAGATATAACTAATAAGAAAAAAAAAAAAAAAGCGAGTCCAGGACAGTCAAGGCTACATACAGAGAGAAATCCTGCCTCAAAACCAAAATCAATCAATCATTTGATTTTTGAGTGTGGTGATGTGTAAATTGTACTTGGGAGGGATAGGAAGTTGGAGTCCAGCCTGCGCTGTAGCAAGACTATTTTGCTACATAAATGGGTCTTTTATGAGTTTCTGAATTATCTTGTTTATGTTTTTTTTTACTTTTCTTACTGTTACTATTACGTGTATGTCTTTTGCTTTCATGTATGTCTGTGTAATACACATGGGCTTAGTTCCTTTGAAGATCACAACAGGACATTAATCTCCTCAAATTGGAGTTGCTGATGGTTGTTAGCTGCAGAATTTGTATTGGGAACCTAGTTTCAATAAACTAGGTTTTCTAAAAGAGCAGCCAGTAATACCAACTGCTGAGTCATCTCTTTAGCCCTTAATTCTGTTTTTTTCATTTATGATCTTCTTTTTGCTTTCCTAGGCTGAGCGTGTTCATGAGCTAAATGAAGAAATAGGTAAATTGTTGGCCAAAGTGGAACAACTAGGAGCTGAAGGAAATGTGGAAGAATCTCAGAAAGTTATGGATGAAGTAGAAAAGGCACGGGCAAAGAAAAGAGAAGCAGAGGTAAAATTCTCTTTTGTTTTGTTTTGAGACAAGGTCTTATTGTGAGACCCAGCTGTCCTGGAAAGAGGTAAGTTCTTAATAGTGGTAAAATGTTATTGTCTGTTCTTAAAGGAAATTAAATCAGTTTTAGTAATACTGCTGTTAAACTGTTGGCTTCAATTTCAAAGTGGGTTTGTGTTTTTTTTATTTAACTTTTATTAATTACACTTTATTCATTTTGTATCCCCCCCATAAGCCCCTCCCTCCTCCCCTCCCGATCCCACCCTCCCCCCTCCTTTCTGCATGCATGCCACTCCCCAAGTCCACTGATAGGAGAGGTCCTCCTCTCCTTCTTTCTGATCTTAGTCTATCAGTTCTCATCAGAAGTGGCTGCATTGTCAGGGTTCTAGGTTATCTCCATGAATAGTCCTTGGTTGGAGTATGAGTCTCTGGGAAGTTCCCTGTGTTCAAATTTTCTTGTTCTGTTGCTCTCCTTGGGTTTGTTTTTTTTTTTTTTTTTTTTTTAATTGGAGGCATTGCTATGTTGAAATTTATAACTTGTAAATGTAATTAAACCAATTATCCACATTAAAAACAAAACACCTGTATGCACTGTGCTACCTATCCGTTTCCCCAGTAATTTTACTCAAATACCATATCAGTAGAATCTGCTGCTACTTTGGGAGTCTTTTCTCATTCTAATTTTATGCCTTAGGTAAAAAATCTTGGGGTAAATAAATTGTTTTGATTGATTGTGGTGCTTTGAAAGAAAATGGTCCTCATAAACTCATAGGGAATGGTACTATTAGGAGTTGTGGCCTATGGTGGTGTTGGAGGAAGTGCGTCACTCTGGGTGCGCTTTGAGATCTCAGATGCTCAAGCTATGCCCAGTGTGGGTGGCTCTCTTGCTCTTGCTGCTTCCTGAGGATTCAGATGTATAGACTCTCAGCTACCTCTTCAGTGTCATGATTGCCTTTGTGCCGCAATGCTTCTTCCCATCAAGATAATAATGGACTAAACCTCCCAGTTAAATGTTGCCCTCTATAAGAATTGCCTTGATCATGGGGTCTCTTCACAACAATAGAAACCCTGTTTTTTAAATTATTAAACCTTGCATTGATAATATTTTGAGTTGCAGATGAAGCACATCACATTTATAATCAGTCCCAGCAGTTGGAAAGCTGAGCAAGAGGATCATTTGTAACCAACCAACCTATTGAGACCCTGTCTTGAAATAAAGAAAAAGAAGGCAGGTTGTATTGTGGCAAGATAAAAAATGAAGCCTTATGATTCAAAACGTTGTGGGGTATATTCTGTTTTCTCTTTTGTTCTGTTCCAGTAGTGTAGTGTGGAAAAGCAGAGTAGAAGGAAGCAATTTTAATACCTTCAACACACTTGTATTTCTTAATATTGGTATTTAGTACAGAATTTGAGGGGAATGAGAATAAAAGGGAAACCTCATCATTGCTTTTTATAACAACTGTGTAATACCCATATCATAGTGAATACCCTAAGACATCAAGAAAATACTAGCTAGAAAAAGAAAAAGGCCTAATGCATGTTAGTTATTTTTCACAGAATTCTCCCTTGGGATTGAACCTTTGGCTTCTTGCAAGCAGGCAAAGCAAGCACTTGGTCACTGAGCTTCATCCCCATCTTTTTTGGGGGAAAGGCTGTGGGTGATTCGAGACAGGGTTTCTCTGTATAGCCCAGGACGTCCTGGAACTCGGTAAGCTTATCTTGAACTCAGAGATTGACTTGTCTCTGCCTCTCAAGTTCCAGGATTAAAGGTCTGTGCTACCACTACAGGCTTTGTAAACCCATCTTTCTAAGTTTCCTCTTGAGACAGAGCAGAGTCTTTGATGTTGCTCAGCCTTGCCTTGGGCTTATGGTCTCCTTGTGTCAGCCTCTAATACTCCAGTATTCTTTTCTCCCAGCCATTCTTATCTAGTCCCTAAAATAGCTTTGGTTTTGGCTTGGTATCATTATAGTGCCAGTTCGTAAAACCAGTTGGTAAATTTTCTATTTTGTTTGAAAGTGACGTGATACAATATTTTTTTTCTTTAATTTCTTGACAGACTTTACCAGAAGCCATTTGAGAATGGAGGGTGTGTGTGTGTGTGTGTGTGTGTGTGTGTGTGTGTGTGTGTAAAACTTTAGTTAAAAGGTAAATTCTGGGCAGGCAGGCAGCTCATTCCTGAAGTCACAGCACTCAGGAAGCTGAGGGTAGGATTACCACTGTTAGTTCATGGTCAGCCAGAGCTACAGAGTGAGAAAATATATAAAAACAAAAGGCATAATAAAAATTTTACATTCTTAAGTGATTTTAAGGATGTTCAGTTTTTTTCATCTTTTAAATCACCTTGGAAGTTTTTTGTCTTATATAATTTCTACATGCTAATTTATTGATATAAAATTATTCATAAACTGCTTTTTAGCATTTGTTCTCACCTCACTTGGTACCTTTCCCCTCCCTTTTTCCTGTCTTTCCTTTCAGGTCCTTAAGCCAAGATGATAAATATTTTATCTTTGATCTGCACTTTCAGCCCTTTCTGCTGATTTAACTAGATGGATATTTACTAACTTTATTTTTCTCTTGAGAAAACTGATCTTTTGACTGTGTTTTTCCATTGTCATTTATGGTTTCTGTTCACATTTTTCTTCTCTCTGTGTTCTGTAGTTCATTTGTATTCTACCGTTATGAAGCAGCTGCTTGAATTGTTTTTAGACTTTTTTTAAAATAATATTTGCTCGGCAGTGGTGGCATGTGCCTTTAATCCCAGCACTTGGGAGGAGGCAGGTAGACCTGAGTTTGAGGCCAGCCTGATCTATAGAGTGAGTTCCAGGATATTCAAGGCTACACAGATAAACCCTGTCTTGGAAAACAAAACAAATATTACCTCTCCTGTGATCTCGTCTTTCTCTTTCATGATTCCCTTTCTAGTTCATGTTACATATATACAGTGAGACATGTGAGACTGTCTTAAGGAAAACAAAGGGGACAGTTAGAAATAACCTGAGGTTTAATAGTGAATTCCGAACTTTACACAGTGGTTTAAAACCTCAGCTTTGTTGTGTTACTGTTAGTTAATTTTCATGGAAGATAGCACATTTTGAAAGTTTACTTGTCTATAAATACGTCTTTCTTTTGTTTCTGTGATTTTTATCAGTTGTAATAATGTCATGTATACCTTTGGAACCACCAGTAGAGCATTTAAATTTCTTAGTAACCCTTTGAAGATAATAGTTTTAAAATTTATCAAAATCCTATGTGGGATTGTAAAGACAGTAAATTACAGCTCAATGTAGAGACTGATAGCCACACTTGGTTATGTCCTGTTTCTTCCCTAAGTGTCATTAAATTAATTCTCATACTTACAATCAAAATTTTTAAAATGTCTTCTAATAAACTGCAATTCTCCTATAAGAACGTCATACCCATGCTCTTGTAAGCAGCACCTCTTTCCCTTTATTCTCAGACTTAAAGTAAAATTCTAAAAAATTGGGGACCTGGTTCAGTCGTAAAATTCTTACAACACAAGCATGAGGTCCTCAGCCCAGGATCAAATGCCATCTTAAATTTAAAGAAAAATGAAGACACAGCAGAAATGTCCCTGCAATCCCACTGGATCTTAGGAGCTTGTGTCTAGCCATTTTAGCCAACCTTGAGCTCTAGGTTGAGTTCCAGGTTTAGTGATAGTTCCTGTCTCAAAGGAGAAATGGATCAACAGTTACGAGTATTGACTGCTCTTACAAAAAAGACTTAAGGTTTAGTTCCCAGTACCTGCGTGTCAGCTTAGTGTGGTTTGTAACTTTAGTTTCAGAGAATCCGATGTCTCTCTTGACTTCCATGGCTTCCTGTACCCATGTGCAGCCCATACAGTCTACGCAGGCCACACCTAAGCATATGTACTAAATACTAAAAAAAATAATCATAAAGTGGAGAGCAGTAGAGCAAAACACTTGTTTTGACTTGCAGCCTCAGCACACATATACACAGGTACACTGGCTCAGTTTCATGCACACATACAGACCTCCCCCCTTCATCCCATGCCACACATAGACTGTTTAGTTGTACATGACGTGACTCAAACAACCGTCAGTAACTTTGCTCAGTGGGATCTGACATCTATCCTCCATGGGCACCCACGTACATTTGGCATACATTCATACCTAAAGATAAAAATCCTCCTAAAAATTAACATTGATATTAAGGGAACTTTTTTTCTTTAATCATAGCTTACAGCATATAGTGAAGTATACCTTTATGGAACCAAAGATAAAGTAAGCTGTTACTTTTTCACTCCTGACTTCAAACGATTAGATTATTATTTTTGTGGTATTTACAGTAATTTTTATGAATTCAAAAAAAGCCTGTGTCTGTTGTTTAAAGCTACTGGAAAGGCTGAGGAAGAACGATTTGATTCCAAGAGTTCTAGATAAACCTGAGTAAATAGCAAAGCCACAACTCCAAAACAAAATGAAATGCAGTTATGTCTCTTTTGTGGCATTTAATTTGAAGTTGTTTCTAGGTTTTCTTTGTTTGACATGCCGTTTTGATAAGTATATTGGTCAGATATATTTTGTTGTTGTTTGTTGTTTATAACAGGCCTTTTTTGTGTAGTCCATGTTTATCTGAAACTTGTGATCCTGCTTCTGCTTTCCAGTTGCTTGAATTCTAGGAACCACGCTATAGGTAACCTGAGCCAGATACTGTAAAAAGTCATTCAGTTTGAGTTTGCTAGTTAGTTTATGTGGTTATAGTATTTAAAGGTTGGGGTGGAATATTATTGAACTGAACCCTGAGCTTTGTATACATAAGTATGTATTCCAAGATAAATCAGCTGTGTATATCTAGGCTTTCATGGTTAGATTTTTGATAGGAAACTGCTCTAATGCTATGCACCATCATGAGACACCTGTTAGTAGTTTATGTAGTTTCTGATGATAGTAGCAGTTTTCGTACTGTGAAGTATTTTATGATTAGTAAGTACCTTATTTGTACTTTTGAGATTATTCTCACCCCCTTTTAAAAAATCTTATTTGTTTTATGTGTATGGGTGTTCTGACTGCATTTATATGTCTGTACTTTGTGTATACGTGGTGCACAGAGGCTGGAAGAGGCAGTGTATTCCTTGGGGTTGAAGTTGGAATGGTTGGAAGCTGCCAGTTGGCATAGAATCCAGGTCCTCTGGAAGAGTAGCCAGTGCTTTTAACTTCTAATGTTTCTCTCCAGCTTCCTTACAATTTTTTTTAACTTCATAGGTTATAGTTAGTAGCCATGGAGTGGTGTGTGTACATGAATGCATATTCTCATGTGAGGGTCCACATGATAATTTTTATAATTATCATAAAAATTATAATATATGTGGAAATCAGAGGACAGTGCCAGAAGCTGTCTGCCTTTTTATTTTTGAAACATAGTCTCTACATGACTTGAAATTTGTCAAGTAGGCAGCCTGGCTAGCCAGTGAGCCCCAGGTATCCATCCACTTGTCTTTATTCTCCTTGTTGCTGGGATCGCAAGCACCTGTCACCATGTCCAGCTTTTGTGGGGAAGGCACATGCCATGCCACTGGTGTGTAGGTCAGCAGACAATCTGTAAGAGTCAGTTCTCTTTTCCAGCCTTGTGTTTTCTTCTACAATGTGGGTCTTAGGGATTGTACTTGGGTCATCAGGCTTGGCAACAAATACCTTTACCCACTAATCTATGTTGCCTGCTTTGCCTCCCTGATTTTTTTTTTTTTTAACTTTGGTTAAAATTGGGGATCAAACTCATATTTGTAGCATAAGCACTTACCAGTTGAGTTCCTCATTCCTTTAATTGGTGGTTTTTGAGACACAGTTTTTCTTGTAGCCTTGGCTATCCTGGAATCCACTTTGTAGACCAGGCTGGCCTCAAACTCACAGAAGCCTGCCTACCTCTTTCTCCCCAGTTCTGGGATCAAAGTCATGCGCCACTACCACCTGGCTATTTTTAATCTCTTAATTCTCTTTTAAGGAATTTCTCTGTAGATTTATTCAGCTATTTTTAGCATGTCATCCTAACCAAAGCTACTTAGAGATTTGGAAAATACAAACAAAACAAACAAAAACCTATAATAGTGTCAGTAAAGAAAATAGGATAGTGGATTGGCAAATTTACCAATGTGTATTGTTTATTTATGAACAGTGTAAATGAAATATATGAGTACAGGTCATCTGAATATTTTCTTACGGAACTTTTAGGGATGTGTGATCATTATTATTTTTCTCGCTTTTGTTTAGGAAGTTTATCGGAATTCTATGCCAGCTTCCAGTTTCCAACAGCAGAAACTTCGTGTCTGTGAAGTCTGTTCTGCATATTTGGGTCTTCATGATAATGACAGGAGACTTGCTGATCATTTTGGGGGTAAATTGCACCTGGGATTTATTGAAATAAGAGAGAAGCTTGAAGAACTAAAGGTATGTTGGGTTAAATTAATATCCCTCACTTCAGCCTGGTTAACCTGGTTCTTTTGCACGTCATCAGTTTTCTTTTGGTTTCATTGACAAAGTCTTGCTGTGTAGCTTTGGCTGATGTTGAACTACTGGCAGTCCTTTTGTCTCAGCCTCCCTGTACAGTTTTTGAATAGTACTGTTTGCTTTTATTTGACAATATTGAGACTCTGTTTACAATGTATTATATTATGGAAAAACAGAGGGAAAGGTCTTGTAGATGTGATTTATAAATGTCATGATGGAGATAACGCTGGAGCTCAGTGGTAGTATGATTGCTTTTCATGCTTTCAAAAAAAATGGTGAAAGATGAAGTTTTGTATGTCTTCCGTAAGCCAGCTTGGAAATCTAATAGTTGTTAATACCTGACAAAAATTTAAAGTATGTTAATGTTAATTGTGCTACATGGGAAACCAGATATGGTAAGATTATTAAGGATTTGGCCAGTAAATTTATAACTGATGTTGTAATTATTACCATTTTAAAGAGAGTTGTAGCTGAGAAGCAGGAGAAGAGAAACCAGGAGCGCCTGAAACGAAGAGAAGAGAGGGAGAGAGAAGAACGGGAGAAACTGAGGAGGTATGTGCCAAGTCAGAAATAGTGCTTGTATTTGAAGCTCAGTCTTCAGTCTGAAGAATTATGATGTGGAAATACTATTAAATTGGTTCTGGGCATGGAAATTTTGAAAAATATGCCTTTAAAAAATGTTACTATGCATGACGATTTTATTGGAAATAATACAGATTAAATAACTTGTATTTATCTAAAATGCTTTAAGCCAGAAATGTTTCAAAATTTGGAAATTTTGAATTTGGCAATCTGTGAATAAACAAGCCTCACCTGTTTAGTATCTCTAGTTTAAAATCTGAAACACTTCAGAAATCCTAGTTTTTGAGTATTATGTCTATATTTCACCTTTTTATGTTAGGGATACTCAACCTTTAACAACTCTGTCAACTGAATTGATTTCTTTCATAATTTGTAGAAAATTAAAGGATGTTTTATGTCTTTAGGTTGTAAAACCTTTTACTACCCTTTGATTTTTTTCATATTGGGCTAGATTTGTACCTTCTTATCACAGAACTGGGCTTTTCTTTTTTGATTGTGGTCTTGGGGTTTGAGCCCAGGGCTTTGTACATGCTGGGCAAGTACTCCCATTATGTCACCTCCTGTGGAAAGGACTATGTCCTTCCTCTGTTTCTCTGTTTATTTTATACTTTTTCAGGAAAAATTTGGGAGTTTTTGTTTTTATATTAAGATTAATTATTTTCTCAGTTGTAGGATCCATAATTTTTACATGGTTTCTCTGTGTAGTCCTGACTGTCCTGAAATCAGTTTGTAGACCAGGCTGCCCTTGAACTCACAGAGATCCTCCTCCCTCTCCCTCCTAAGTGCTAGGATTAAAGCTATGCACAACCACGCCCCATGGATCCTTAAGCATAAAAATCTGTTAACTTGATACAGCTTCATCCTATATAAGTCTACTTATATTAACATTGATTAATTGGTAAATTTAGTTTCATATTTAGAGTGTTCAAACATCCTTCTGAATAATTTTCGGCCATTAGCAATTAAAATTACATTGTGGCAATGTTGTTTTATAGCACATGTTCAGAACTTTAAGCAACATTATCTTAGACAGTCATGCCACAAAGAAATTTACCTCTTCTGATTGATAGTGTTTCCTAATTGCAAAAATTACATTTTTGAAATTTAAGTACCTCTCAGAGTTAACATATGTCTCTAAAATAATTAAAACCCTTTATTGGTCATGCTAACTTTAAAGCTCTGAGCATATTTTCAGTTTAGGTGAACTTTATTTTGTATTACATAGGTATGTGTGTGTGTGTGTGTGTGTGTGTGTGTGTGTGTGTGTGTGTGTGT